CGAGAGCCACACGGCCTCTTCAGCCCGGGGAATACCTTTCTTCCCGAGTCGAACTTCCGAAGGTCGCCGTTCGTCACGTACACCAGCTTCAACGAGCACTCAGAGCACCTGTCTCCCTGAGCATCCCAATGTGAGAGCGACTGCGGCCGAGAAGCTGGCGAAAGCAGGCACTGACCTCTGAAGGCGACCGCAAGAGCGAAAGTGCCTTATGCGCCAAGGGGCGGGGTGTGGCCGGGCCGGCGGCTACAAAGAGGCCAGGCTCGGATCAGAGGGCCTGTAACTGGGTACGAGGTCGAAAGCAACCGAAAATAGAGCGTAGTAGAGCAACGTATGTGCGCAACCGGGCGTATCGTGAGCTCGTAGATTGTCGCCCGGATCGTATCCTGCAGCGTTGCATAAGCACGAATTAGCCCTTGATTAATCATTAAACGTGGGAACACACGGCAACCGCTTCTTAATTGAGTATAATCATGTTCAAAGCTTGCGCTACAGACATCGCGTTCATGAGGGTTAGGACGCCAAAGAAACCAATCGCAAAGTCTACGAAGTGAAAGTAGGCAGTGGCCCGTATGAAGCGACGAGTACTGTAGCTCCTCGTACTGTAATCTCGGCGGTTCTCCCTGCATCTGACCGCGAGGACGTGCCCGATATGACCTGCTCAGAAGCTCAAAACGCGCAACTTGACGGTAGAGCAAGATACGCTAGACCGAACACGGCATCGACGACAATGTGCGGCGACGTGCAGAGTGGATCTCTCTCCAGCCTTGCTATCCGGCCGGCCCGCTCGTAGATCCTGGATTGCTGGGCGTGCGATAATTGGTGCGTAAATGGACGGCGATTGCTGTCGGTGGATCATGAAGGACGCGGGAAGCGCGTGTGGTGTATAGCTTCATCTCGACCAGAAGACGAATGACTTCGACGTGCTAGAAGTCAGCTGGGAGGCCTTTGTTTTCAGCTGGCTGATTGACTTCGAGTTGCCCCGGGCCGTAAGAGGAGTAGACGCTTGGCGAATTGCGCGTGAGTGGGCTTGCGAGGTCATTCGCGCTTTTGAGCATGTCAAGAACATTGACCGAGAGGCAAGGAGCGTTCGTTAGTGCCACTGCAAGGCCACTAGGCCTATGGCCGGCGTCCGATGTGCGAGCGAACAACGTCCGATGCTTGCCGTTCGGGTCATAACGAGGCGAAAGGATGGCCGCCAGGCGTGCGCGAGTGGGTCCTCTAGAACAACAGTCTACAGCATGTTCCGGTCGAGCATAAGCTCCGACAAGTTGTAATGCGATAAGAAGATTGTGCCATGCGTTGTACATGTTTTGTGTTACTGGCGCAGCGGCATGAACGTTTAACAGAACCCATCAAGGATTGATAGTGCCGCAAGCGTTGACATTATACATGCCGTGGCGTAAATGCTCCGGTTCGCGAACTTCGCCGTTCGAGTAGGCTGACGTCCGAAGTGATGTTTCGTCAAGACGAAAGTTCTGAGGGTCTGCACCATATACTTGAGTGAAGTAGCCCAGCGCGCGTATGTCGCGATGATGAAGAGGAGACCTTCAAAGAAAGCGAGACCTGAAACCAGAGTCGTCAGCGTCTGCTTGAGAAATGATTCAAAACGACACGCACGACGAGCTTACTCATGTCAAATCCATAGAGACATCCTGTGTACCGGACGGCCCAGCTTTAGAGGGGGACTCAGTGGTAGGGGGCGGATCTTGTCCAGCGACGTCTTTCGCGGCGCCCCTTGACTTCCCTCCCCTGCCTCTTCCCCTTCCTCTTCCACGCCCTCCTCGCTTGGAGACCGGCCCGTCGTCTCCGTCGTCGTCGGCGTCGAGCTCCTTCTTGGATACCGGCTTCTTTCGATTCTTGTCCAAGAGCTCGACCTCTCTGAATCGTATTCGTCGCTCTGAGTTGGCCAGATGCGCAGCGTGCTTCTTGGTAGGGTCGGCTTCATCTGTCCATGGGTGAGCGTCCTTGGTGTATGATCCAAAAAGTATTAGAGACTAACCTTTATCTTCTGCGAATAGTAGCTCAGTGCCCAGGAGATTATGGTGTTCGCCTCGGAAGATAGTCCCGGAGAGCTGGAGGTACGGCGTAGGTGTGTCCAGTCCCTGCGTTCGAAGTTCAGCCAAATAGTTGGTGAGCCTAAGCGAGGGCACAAACTATGAGACGATATGTTTCGCTAGAGTTTAAGAGCTCGGGCTGCACATTTCCGATATCTAGCGTGACATATTCGACTTCTTCCACGATGTCACCGTTTTCGTCGCGTATATATTCGTCATCGTCACCGAACGCTTCAACCTGAGAGTAGCCTGGAAATAGTGATGCTTGCGACATGAGAGTAGTCTCTTTTCGGACAGTGGGTACGTTTTGGAGTGTGTGAGCACAAGGCTAGAGTCTACAAGATGGTGGTTGGAGGAGAGAAACGCGACGCGCCTCGGCGCGTCAAACGTGACCGCGTTCAACCAACTTCCAAGTCCACACGCTCTTGCTCTCGACGCTCACTAGCTCGAGCCTACCAAAACCTCGCATGCTATCGCGATGTCGACCACATGCCTTACAACGCCCATCTATTCTCATTGCGCGCCGTAACATCTCATCAGATGAATGGCTGTCCCGCCAGTATAACGACCCCTACACGAAACAGCGCCTTTCCAACCCAGCCATGTACCGTTCGCGTTCCGCCTTCAAGCTACTGGAGATAGTGCAAAGCCATGGACACGGGATGGTCCTAAGAAACTCCGCTATACGCTCTGTCATTGATTTGGGTGCTGCCCCTGGAGGCTGGAGCCAGGTCATGGCAGGGTTCTTGAGTGATGGCAGTACGGGCACTGCTGTGAGCGCGGATGGTCAGAGCGGAGGGTTCGGGCTCAAGAGTGGCGGAGGACTTCGAGATACCAGGATATCTTCCGACGACGACGCAGAGGAGGCGCTTGCTTTGGAAACAGAACCTGCCCCAGTCCTCCCGCCGGTCAAGCGGAAAGTGGTCATTGCCGTCGACAGACTGACTATGGCACCCATACGCGGCGTACACACCCTCAAACTGGACTTTCTTGCCCCTGGCTCTGAGGAGATCATATCTACGCTCTTGAAGCAGGAGACAGGCTCCGAACGCGCAGACGTGATCCTGTCCGACATGGCCGCCAACTTTACCGGCAACCGTGTGGCGGACGCGGAGAATGCGCTCGAGATTGCCGAGACGGTGCTTACATTCGCCGAGAAGCATCTCACACTATCGCAGAGGGGGCGCTTCAAAGGCGGCGCCTTATTGTACGTGCACACAACCCATAGCCGCGCGCATCATCCTGACGTTCCCTGACAGGATAAAGTACTTCCAGTCCCCCGAAGCCGACAACTTTCGGAAGAAACGACTCGAACCCGCGTTCAAGAACGTTTACACTGTCAAACCCAAGGCTAGTCGGTCAGAATCTGCCGAGTACTACTGGCTTTGCTACGGCTTTGGCCATGTGACGCGTAAAAAGGTGCAAAAGCTACCATCACCGCCTCGACTGCCACTGAACGCGCACTGAGTAGCGTTCGCGCTGACGATCGGAACCCCTTGTGCTCTCGATGTATATGCGTATTCACTGTATAATCGTACCCGATCTACTTGCAATGCTGGATGCTTTGCTATACTTCGCGTGTGGACAAGATATGATACAGTGTTGTCTGCGGTCTATGTGGTATGGTGGTGATGAGGAGACGATTGGATACGAGCATGCTGATGTTGTAGGTAGGCGCGAGTAAGGTATTGTATGGATATACTGGCATTTGAACGGTGATCAAGAGGAAAGGGGCGACAGGAGGGACAAAGCGATACGACGGCATTTCGACAAGATGTAGTAGAGCTGTGCAAGATATAGGGCTGTATGTTTAAGGGAAAGTAACAAGATCCGAACAAGACACTCCCAAGAAATAGGTAACGAAAAGCATAATACCGTTCACAAGCATTCAGGCATCGACGTCCATGGCGTCTCCAGCGCCAACGAGCACTTCTACTTCCCCAGCGGCCTCCATCTCATAATCAGTCTCCCCCTCCGCATCCTCATCGTCCGCTTGTCGACTACCACCCTCTCCGTTCACAGCTTCACCCTGCTCAGCTTCTGGAAGCTCTGAAGGCTGATTGGGCACTGATGCGGACATCTCCATCGCGACATCATCGCCAGCGTTTCCGACGGAGGCCCCGCCAGCGGCGACAGCATCAGAGTGCCCAGCGTCCACATCCCTCCCCTTCGTGTCGACAACATCGGCGTTCTCCCTTCCATCACCTTCACCATCGGTAACCACATCAGCCACGACGTGAATGGGAGCCGCCTGCGGTTCAGCAGCAGGAGGAGCCGCGGGCAACATCTCAACATCATCTCCAGCCTCCGCACTGGCGCCAATGCCGACATCTCCCCCCGTCTGCGCCCCAACATTCAACATCTCCTCCATAAGCGCGCTCTCCGCGTCCCTCTCAGCAGCAGCGACAACCGCCTCCGTGAACCTCGCAAGCTCCGAGTCCGCCCGCGTAAGTGTAGCGCTAGACCCCGCACCACTGCCCGTCCTGGTCGGCACCAACGGCGTCCCAGATCCAGCCGCGGCAGCTCGATACCCAAGCAACGTATAGTTCGCCCCGGGGACAGCAGGTCCACCTTGAACGGGCGTGCGTACGCCGCTCCATAGCATGCGCGGGTCCATGCCTGGTGGGAAGACGGCCGTGTATCCCATCGGGAGGGCGATTGATGCGCCTGGGACTGGTGTGGGCGCGGATGGCTGGGCCGGGGACGACGAGTTTGGTACGAGGACGGGTGTGCGTGGCATACGAGGTGCAGCAGTGAGAGGTTGAGGAGGTGCCGTCGACGTAGAAGCCGTCTGAGATGCAGGAGCACCCTCTTCCGCTCCTTCCACTCCCGCCTCTCCCGCTCCCTCCTGTGCAGCCGCCGCCAGCGCAGCCTCCTCGGCCTCTTGAGCAACCATCAGCTCATACACCTCATCCTTCACATACGGGTCCGTATCGCCCGGTAACGCGTCGCCCTTATGGCACGCGCCCGCATGCTTCCACCAGTATATCTCGCGCACTTTCGCGTCGCCCGGCTTGATACCTTCGAGATCGACCCAACGGTCGCATTTGTGGCACTTTCCTTGTTTCATCTCCTACACACAACACCCACCGTATCAGCATACTCGTCTCATGATACAGATCTCAGAGGAGAGGGATCGCACCTTGCGCTCATGCGGCGACGGCTTCGCCCGCACATCGAGCTGAAAACCGATAGGCGGGGAAAAGGGACGGCCAGATTGCGGTGAGATACCGTGGAAGTACTGCATATGGTAGCTGCAAACCGGTAGTGGTCAGTAGGACATCCTCAATACGGGTAGTGCTGCGCATGAGAAGGGGGCGCGGGAGCGGATGGATTCAGGCACGAGACATCAAAGTCAAATTTATAATATCCGGGGCGCATATATTCAGCCTTTTCGTGCGTCGCACGATGTGCTGGCCCGTGTGCTCCCAGAGAAACAGGTAGAGGCGATTGAGTGCGGAAGTGTGGAAGTGCCAGACTCACTTGAAAGCACTGAACTTCATACTGAGCCACTGCAAACTCCCCTGCCCACCGCGCGCCGGCGGCTCGTAGCAGATCGGACAACATCCCACCTACACCCCTCATCAGCAACCCAACACCACCCTACATAACGACCGAAACATACCTTGGCCCTCCCAACGCCCTTCGTATACCTCGGCGAATAAAGATCCAACCAAGTCTTCGGCGCATTAAACGTCGCGCCCGGAATCCTCGGCACAGGCCCCTTGCCCAACCCCACACCAATAACATGGAACTTGCGCCACAGCGCCTCGAAGCCTTGTTCAACTGGACTTCCCTCGACGGCGCGGAGCGGAAAGTCGATCGTGTTCGGTGAGCCGTCGGAGCCGGTGGCGTTCTTGTGTTTCTTTCGGCGTCTTGGGGGTGGTGGGGGGACGCGGCCTTTCTTGACGGGCGGTGGTGGAGGGGCGGAGGTTGACGTTGATGCGATGGGAGAGGAAGGCGCTGGTGGTGGCGACGATGGCGCAGGCGCAGGAGGCGAAGGAGGAGGAGGAGAGGGTGCGGGTGGTGGTTTGGATGAAGATGCGACCACGGGTTTGGGTGGAGACGCGGGAGCAGCATAGAACGAAGACACGGGTACGGCCTTGGACGGAGATGCCGGCGCGTGTTTGGATGAAGACGCAGTAGCTTGCCTAGTCGAAGACGCAGGAGTTTTCGAAGGTGAACTTGAAGGAGATTTCCCGGTGTAGCGCGGTGCGGGGAGCAACACTTCGACGGCTCTGCCCTTGCCCTTCTTATCCTTGATCTCCTCAACCTTGCGCTCCTCTTCCATCTCTGGCACAGTCTCTTCTACGTCTTCCTCCTTCGCTTCTTCTGCGTCCTCTTCCTTCGCATCCTCCGCGTCCTCTTCCTTGGGATCTTCCGCGTCCTCTTCCTTAAGATTTTCCGCGTCCTCATCCTGACCCTCATCTTCATCCTCAGAAGGCAACCCAGCAGCGCGCCGTGCCTCTCTAGCCTCTTCCGCCTCCTTCGCTGCCCTCACCGCTGCAGCGGCTTTGGACACCTTACGTTTGCCTGTACCCGTTGATCTGCGTTTCGGAGGAGCTATAGAAAGATTGTTTCAGCGTGTGCACCGAGTGCGAGAGGAAAGGAGAGGGACGTACGTGGTGGCGGCGTCTCAACCTCAACGCTCGGGTTCAGCCTGGTCGACCGACGCGTCGATACGCCCGTAGAAGCCGGTACAGGCGTCTCTTCCTTGACCTCAACCTCCGCTTCCACCTCGACTTCTACCTCCATCTCAACATCGTCCTCCCGCATCTTCCCCTTCCCCTTCACATCCACCGTCTGCTTCTTCCCCACCGCCTTCCCCTTCCCCTTTCCTTTCCCCTTCTTCCCACCCTTCTTCTTCTCCGCACTCCCCACAATCCTCCTCTTCGCATCCTCCACCAGCCTCCTCGTCCGCACCCTCCTCAGCCCCTCGCCCAGACTCGCCCTCGTAGCCTTGAAGATCATAGCCGCCTCCGCCCTCGACACGCCCATCTCCGCCGCGCCCGCCGTCTCCGTCATGCGCGCCCTTTTGCTCGGCGGCAGGCTGGATGTTTCGACGCGGATGACCTGTTCGCTGTTGAAGGATCGGGCGGCACGCCGCCAGTCGCGCGCGTCGGTGTAGGTGGGCCCTGAAGGGCTGAATCCGAGCTCTTCGTCCGGGTCCATCTCAAGCCCTAATGCCAGCCCCGATCCCGACGCAGTACCACCAGCACCTCCATACACCCCATCTACACCTTCGTCCACATCACTCGCATCCTCCGCCTCCGCCTCCCTCTCCAACCTCCTCGCATCAAGCACCGGCACAACCGGACTCAAATCGAGCGCCGGCAGCGGCTTCGTCCCCACCGCCGTACTATACGTAGGCGACGGCTGACGCCTGCGTTTGTGCGCTTTGCGCGGGCTGAAGCGCGCTGGGACTGATGCTGGGAGCGAGGGGGGACGGTACGGCAGGAAGACGCGTTCGTATGAGGGAATCTGCGGCGTTTGGTTTTGATCTTGTCGTGGTTGGTCGGCGGGTTGGGAGGGTCCGGGCGAGAAGGGCGTCGAGAGGTCGACTAGTGGTGAGATGGGCGAGATTGGCGAGAGGGGGGATGTTGGGGAGAGCGAAGGCGATCCCGATCCGGGCTCCTCGTCTTCCTGTTTCGTGTATACGGGCGCAGGCTCGGGCTCAGAAAGCGAAGCCGAAGACGTAGATTCTTCTTCCTCATACTTCGGCGGGGGCGCTTTAGGCTTCGACTGTACGGCGATCCTTGGCAAAGTTCTCCTAGTTCTCGTCCTAGCTTTAGTAGTCGTAGTAGTCGAGATATGCGATTTGTATTCCGTCGAATGTTGTGGAGGCGGAACAGGCGGAGGAGAAGGAGACGCAGGCCGGCGATCGAACGCAGCGGCGAACGGGCGCGCCCGAGGAAGCTCTGGAGCGGGCGCGGGCGCAGAGAAAGACGAGTAGATCGTCCGGCCCGTGGCGGTGCCGAAAGGATTTGGCTTTGTGGACGGAGGGGGGCCAAAAGGGCTTGCGCGTGCAGAAGAAGACGGTCGTGATTGAGGCTGGGCATGCAGAGAGGAAGAAGAGGCAAGAGGGTTGGACGAAAAAGACGAGGACGCGGAAGACGCGTGATGAGGCTGAGGCACGGGCGCAGGCGCGACGACGGGGCTCGGGCGCCAATGCTGATACGCCCCCGCCCCGTACTTCATAGGGCTAGACGAGTCCTGATAGCGCATACTCATATCGCTGAGAGCCGGACTGGACTCGTGATACCCAAAAGAGGAATTTACGCGCGTCGGGTGGGAAGTCGTCACTGTATGCGCCGCGTGGGCCACCTGTGGTTGACATCAGCTCACGCGTTTTAACGGTATATTTGTATGTGTATATGCTTACAGAGTTCGATCGTGGCTGTTCGCCTGCGTGTCGGACGGGGCTCGTGTCCGGACCACCGAGGTACGCGCCCGCAGCCATCAACGACGACGCGCTTCCCGCTGCCGGGCTCTCAAACGGCGCGCCCCACACCGGCAGCGGGCTCAACAGCGCCGAATAACTCGGCGCACGTGTCGGCACGGGCACGACCCGGGCCGGGCTGGAGTCGAATGCATTGTTGCTGCTGAGGCCTGATTCGATGGAGGAGGTGCGGGAGGAGGACGCGATGATGTCGTGCAAAAGGTGCTGTTCGAGGTTGCGTATATGCGCGTCGGGCCGCTTCGATCGCGCCAGCAGGCTCTGGTAGCTCTTTTCGAGCTCACTGTCAATCAATTAGAGCTCGTAAAATCGGCCGAAAATGACGGGGCGTACGATGCTAGGGACATGCTGGGACGGAGACAAGAGACGCGCCAGGCTCTTAGGCGCCCGTGCGCGTGGACCGCGAGCGAATTCTGGCCCCGTGGGAACCGTTTGACGCGGTCACGGTTGTGTGCGCTGGTGTATTCCCGGCCGCCCTTTATTCCTTTCCCTCACGAACTTTACCATGTACAGGCCGATAATTCTTCTTGCGTATGCGGCGCTGGCTAGCGCTAGCGCGCTTACGACCGCCATCTCGCCCAACGAGCGCTTATGTTTCTTCGCGGACGTCGACAAGGTCGGCGAGAAGATCGGCGTGCGTGTTCACCTCCCCGCACCACACAATATATTGACACCAATATATCCTAGTTCTACTTTGCCGTCCAATCCGGTGGAACCTTTGACATTGACTTTGCCGTGACCTCGCCGACCGACAAAGTACTGCTTGACGGCCAACGGGAACACCAGGGCGACTACGTCTTCACGGCCAACCAGGCCGGCGAATATTCCTTCTGCTTCGAGAACGACATGTCCACGCTCACGGAGAAGTTGATTGACTTTGATATCATGGTTGAGAGCGAGCCGAGGAGAGAGGCGAGCGCCAAGCCGGGGCAGATCAGCGAGCAGACGAGCCCGTTGGAGGAGAGTATCTATAGGCTCAATGGGTTGTTGATGCAGATCGTCAGGACGCAGAAGTAGTACGTATTGCCACTCCTTTTGGTTATATGGTATCCTAATGACTGGTATAGCTTCCATACGAGGGAAAATCGCGGATTCTCGGCCGTCAAGGGCACACAAAAGTACGTCGACGCCACCGTCTTTCTTGCACCTGCACTGACATTCTCGCCAGTTCACTCTTCTGGTACGCAGTATTGGAGACAGGAGCAGTCATTGGCATGGCAGTGTACGTTCACTTACTCGCTCTCCTGCTATCATCCAAATAACCTGCTGACGCCACACCCCCAGATTACAAGTCTACATCCTCCAGACCTTCTTCACCAAGACCGGCAGGCGGTACAAGGTGTAGACTCCTCGGTGTATTGCGGTTCTGTACCTATATACCATATTCCCTGCGGCAGGTCTGCACGGAGTCGGACGTGTTGTGGGTGGACAATGCGATATTATTCGGAAATCAAATCAAACGCTGTGTGATGGCCTGATTGCCATGAACCCTCGACGCGCACGTGTAACCTGATACTGACAGGCTTCATGTCTCCGTCTCATCGTGAACGGGGATACCATCTGACGAGCATCGGCTCGTCGAGTCTTTCATGAGGGTATTCAGATACAATATTCCACTCCCAGTCCCATCTCTAGTTTTATGCCTACAATGATGAAATCATCTGACAACAAACTGGCATCCTATACGAGTGTTACTTAGTACCCATTCTTTGCAGGAACGACTCCAAACACAGGTCCTCCCCGTCCAAACATCTTCTGCAAGTCCCCCACGAGCAGCTCCGGAACCTCATACGCCGCGAAATGCCCTCCCCGGTCGTGCTCGAAGTCTGCAACGATGTTGCCCATCCCGCGCGTCCACCTATGTGTGCGTCAGAACGAATGCTAGCGCGGAGGATGAAACATATACGTACGTCTTAGGTGGATGGAAGATGTCCTTGGGAAACGATGATAGGCCAGTTGGCACTTTCACGGCGCTCCTGCCCGCAGTCTGTTGTTCGACCCGGTTCTCGAAGTAAATCCTCAGAGATGAGGCTGGCCCGGCGCGGGAGAACCAGTATATCGATATCCATGTCAAAACTAACGCAAATATGCCTCGTAAGCACACACCGAAGGGAATGAGATGAACAACGTACCTTCATCATCCGTCCACGCGTACGAATCAGTCCACGCCACAAGCTTCTCGTATATCCACGCCAGCAATCCGACAGGCGAGTCGGCCAGAGCATAGGCAAGTGTCTGCGGTTTGGTGGCCTGTTGCATGAAGTAAGCGCGCCCCTCCCTGTCCGTCTTAGACTGGCGCGCGAGGCCTTCTTTCTCACGCTCTGTGTATGGCGTGAGGAGGTAGCGCAGGTAGTTCAGAGGTTCCGCTCGCGTGGGCGGACTAGCGCTACAGACTACGTCAATACGTCTTGTCGATCTATTAGAATGTGCGAAGTCTTACACAGCCATGTTTGTATGCCACGCCTTGGCGTGCTTGGGCCCGTATGTTGCAGCAATGCTATGCGTGACCTGTACGAGCATCGGACTGTGAGCTTTCTGTCTATCGTCAGGTATAGTATGAGACGTACCGCGTATCCCCAGTCACCACCTTGACACACGTACTCATTGTAACCCAACGCCAACATCAGCTTGTGGCCCGTCTACATACTGCTGTTAGCAAATGGCGTGTACAACTGAGTCAGAAGCTACTGACCTCGCCCATCTTGATGGGCCCGAAGCCGGGCTTCTTCGGGCCTTCGGAGAAGCCGTAGCCGGGAAGACTGAGAGCGACGACATGGAAAGCGGGCGCTCCGTCGGTGGCCGGGTTCAAGAGCAAAGGCAGGATCTTAGTCACTTCCAGAAAGCTTCCTGGCCCTATTTGGGTGCGTGGTTGATCAGCAGGCTTGTCCATCAGAAGAGAGAGGAGAGAATGGGGCGCATACATCCATGAACGAACAGGAGGGGAATAGCTCCTTCCACCTTGCTCTTCGCGTGCACGTAGTGGATGCTTAATGGTCCGTGACCGTCAACGTCGATGTCGCGCGTGAACATTGGGAGAGTCGAGTTGATCTCCGCTTCAACGCGGCGCCAGTCGTACCTGTTACCGAACGCAGTACTCAGTTCCTGCTTCAAAAAATGTGTGGTCTGGCGCTGAAGGCGTCCATACCCATTCTTCCAATGTTCGAGAAGCCTCTTGACGTGAGAGAGCGGAGCACCGTAGTCCCAGCCAGCATCTTCGAGCTCGTCAGGTAGCCGAGCAAGAGCAAGCTTCTGTCGCAGGAGGTCGAGTGCATCCTCGGGCACAGATATTTTGAACGGTTTCTCTGTAGAGTCAGTCATGTAGAGAGGAACTAGAGTGAATCGGTATCTGAGGACGTATAGCAAGTTCAAAAGCAAACGTGACGCGTCTTGAAGCTTGAAGGGAGATGGTGGAGACTCATAAGGCGCTGAACTTGACGATCCCGCCGGGGGAGCGGAATTATGCCCGGTAAGTGGTATACCCACTTATCATGCACATACGGGCGGGTAAACAGCACACGTATTACGCGACTCAGTCAGCAGGTCTGGAAATCGCGAAATCGTTCTGATAAACCTAGGTAGCGCCGCCAGCGCGCGGAATTGAAGCACGCGATGTCAATGTCTTCTTGGTTACAACCGAAGTTACGTAGAAAACAATGCGCGCCAGCGCGAAGAGGGTGTTTTCACAGACGTGTCATGGTCAAGACGAGGAAGTACGGTCGCGCCTGCCGGGACCGACCGACACTTGAGTCAGGCGTTTCACGATCACATGAGTATGTATTTGACGCGTCACTTTCGCACCCGCGTGGTTCGCGGCATCAGCGCGCAACGGCCCATGGCGTTTTCGCAAAATCACGCATGTCATACTCATGGCGCAGTTCGTAGAGTCCACGTCTCGTTCGTCAAGCCAAGCTGACGCTCACATAGTACATAGGATAAGCATACACGTGATACAGGTACAAATACAACAAGTCCGTGGGAGCGCGTCCCTGGGCCATCACAAGAGGGCCATCCTCGTCAAGTCAGCTTCACGAGTCTTCCTCCCTCTTGATATGAGGCATCGTGAGCAAGTAAGGCTCTGCGCGACGATAACGCGCCTCCGCCTGCGCCTCGTCATTGCTGGGCTCGGTCTTGACGAGTGCAGATCGCGATGCAGCTGCAGACGCGTAGGGATGAACCGCTGTCGTCGCTGATGAAGCTGAGTTTGTACGCGCGAGTACTGGTCCAGCCCCTCCAGCGGCCTCCAGCTCACGCGCCGGCGAGAAGTACGGTGACGGTTTGATGACGACGGTGCGATCACGCCAACGATCATTGATGTAAGAAGGGAACGCGTCCTTCAGGCGCGGTTTCGCGCGCTGGTAGAAAGCCGCCGTGCGCGCTTCGTGGTCGGCAAGCGTCGTGAACTCGGAGCGCCACAAGTACCACTTGCATAGCTGGGCGATGATAGGGTGGAACTCGGTTTCCTCTGCTCATGGAGATTAGTGACCGGCGAACACGTCTACGTGGGATACGAAGTCTCACTGATAAGAGCCTTGGGCTGCCCGTTGACCTTTGTACGTGTCTTGTTGCCGCGCGATAGCCAGTCTTCTGCGATCTCGCGTAGCTTCGCGAGGTGTTGCGGGCACTTGCACTTGGTTACGAGCTGCTGGTTGTTGCCCGGGCGGATGAGAAGGCGCATCTTGACCTCGCCAGCTCGTTCACTACTTGAGAGTAAGCGAACTATACGCCACATATCAAATGTTGCGTGCACATACCAGATAAGATCCATAGCGTTCATCCAAGTAGTCATTCGCAACACGCACTCGTCCTCGCGGACAGGGTCGCCGACGATTTCTCCCATCCAGAAGGTATGGAGGGCGTCATCGAATCCAGGCTGATGCTCTTTGGGTGGGCCCAGAGGCGCTTCCACAACCTCTCGTTTAACCCTGGGGGCAACAGCAGAGCTAGGCGCACGGGACATCGCGAAACAGGGAGGTCGAGGTCGGTGAGATCGGTGAGATGTGAGTCGTCTGGCCTGGAAAAAGTGGGGGATGTCAGACACTGAAGAGACGACAGAGAGTGCGACTGCGTACATATAGTGTCGAGCACGATTGTCCCTCGAGGCTCAAAGCCGATCGCCTTTGAGTCCGACGTACACTGACCAAGGCGTGGCTCGTAGACTGGTCGTACAATAGGCAGTCTAAGTCGGGCGCTGGATCAACAGGCTCTAGTTTGACAGATGCAATACAAGTAGGTGTGGTCTCCATCGCAGACCCCAAAGTCACCAACGTATGAGGCGCAGTTTATTGTCGTTAGTCGCGATTTACAGGCGCGGATGAAAATGTAAGTCAATCTCTTAAGTCATGGTTTTGAGGCTCCGGCGCTATCAAAGGAAGGGCGCTGCGATGCTACGAGGTGCATACGGAAGTGGCACGGTAGGGGGAGAACAAAGCAAGAAGGATGCTCGGCATGGTTTCCGCGTGGGTTTCTGTTGATCGCTGCGCTGACCGCGGTGCTTTTGCAGAGCACGCCCGGTGCTTCCTTTGTCTTTTGGGCGGGGCATGGCCAGGAGTCCGGACCGTGATTGATACACGTGGCAATCGCCCTGGAGGGCTGGTGATATCTTGAAGCCCAGCTTGCATCGTGCTGGCGACCAGAAAGCAGCGTCGTCCGCTGGCTGTGAGTTCAGAATGGCTCATCGTCGTCCATGACTATCGCTTAAGCTAGGCCGGCGTATGGGATGCGGTTGCCGGTCAGATGAGCGGTTGAAAGAATGAAAGTCACAACAAATGGAGAGGCAGACTCCGTGCAGCCGCTCTGCCTGTGTGCTAGCAGAGAAAGCAGGATGCCCCCGCAGTGCACGCTAAGCTCCTACCTTTGTTCGCGGTCTCGAACTTCGTCGTCTTGACCGGACATGCGCAGGCTGGACCCCAATGGATCCACGCAGCAACCGTCTCCACCGACCCCTCTCCATATCAGAAAAGGGCGATAACTCATAGTCATGCGGAGGTTAGGCTGCAGCCGTCGACGATGCGTAATCATTGTGGATGATAGGTTGGATGGCCGTGAAACCCGCTAGTGCATCGTCTCAGCAGGACGGTAGTGCGGACGAGGATTCGCACCACAACGAGGCTTTAGCAGCGAGCGTAGCGAGGTACACTTTGCGTTCGCTGGTCGCAACATGTTCACGAAGACCGTCGCGTCGTCATCAGAGTGCGATGAACGCTGGTAAACGCTCGTGGGCGGAGAGAATAAACATGTGAACAGCAAGAGTGCAGTCCGTGCCAAGGTCCAGCTCACTGTGCGTTCTAAAATCGGAATAGGAGGAATGGGGATGCATAGGTATACATTCGAACCAACCTCAACTAAGGGCCGAACTCGAGCAGCGGGCGAGATGATGGGAAGAAGCAACCGGTGAGCGGAGAGTCGGGCCGAAAATGATCGCGCCCAACCTTCTCTTCCAGTTCTTGTTCCTCGGGAATATCTTCCCGTTTCTTCACGCCGTCATGGCCTCCACCTCCATTTCAAAGTCCGAAAAGTCGTACATACAAACATCGCTCCAAGCGAGTACACCTCTACGCGCCGACGGACGAGGACTCTACGACTACCGGCCCATCGCGCTCGAGACAGGCGTGGCGCCACTCGCAAATGGTAGCGCGCGCTTGCGGCTCGGTCAAACTGCAGATAGCTCTGGAGGGACAGAAATACTTGCTGGCGTGAAGCTTGAGGTAGAGGAGACGGAAAGTACGGAGGGTCGCATCATATGCAACGTTACATGGTGCGTCATTTTCATCCTGCGTTTTGTACGCGCGCACGTTTTAAGACACAGAAGATAGCTCGCCGTCCGCGTATCCCCACGTACAGTCGAATGCTATCGAAGACATAGCGCACGACTACACTGCGATCTTGCATGAGGTGCTTTCGCACCCCTCGCTTCTACCTCCGAGCCTACGCATTCTCCCTGGCCGCAAAGCATGGGTGCTCTCGCTGGACGTGCTCGTGATATCCGACGCTGGCAACGTCTATGATGCGATGTTCATGGCGGCACAGGCGGCACTGTGGGACACTAAAGTACCGCGCACGCGAGCTGTCGAGTATCGCGCACAGGGCGGTTTGAGCGGAGGGAAGGACGGAGGAGACATGGATGTGGATGCCGCCAGTCAAAGCGGCTTCAACGTGCGAGCAGAGAGAGCGGTCGCGGATTTCGAACTCGAGGATTATTGGGATGAGGGAGATCCGCTTGCCGGAAGGGATCAATGGCCTGTCTGCGTCACTCTCAATCTAGTATGTCTTTGCCTCTTCTATGCGGGTGTTGTGACTGATCGGACGCTTCCCCGCAGCTACCGCCGATGTATTATCTCGATGCCACAGGCCCAGAAGAAGCAGCAACACCTCTACGGCTATTGTTGATGTATAGCGCGCCCGCGCATGCGGCACCTCGATTACAGGGAATGCGGCTGCTGGGCTCCGGCGAGATCGACCTGTCCTTGATCAAGTCTTTGGTATCTGTACGTGCAATGATATCTTGCTGTCGCTTTCCCTTCTCAAATGTGCACCAGTCGGCCCAAAATCACGCAACAGAGCTTGCAGGTGCGCTACGCGGAAAGCTGAAGGACGAGGATCTGCGACGGACGGAAAAGGCTAGACATAAATTCAGTGCTACACGGTAAACATCGCAAAGCTCTTACTTTTAGCTCTTCCGCTTCTCTGTCCGTATGTGTATCATGGCTAGGGCAGAAACAGAAGTCCGGCCGTTCCATTCTCCATGCCCTTCTGACATCGTTCAGTGTCGTCGTTCCGATTGAGCGATATCAGATCAGATCAAATTAGGACATGTTTGTTCTACGATGGCTGCTTCGCTTCTACTACGCCTGACAGAGTGTGATTACACGTGTACATAAGCAGTCGAAGGAACGTCTTGATTCCGGCATACCGTACAAGAAGCTTACGAACCTGACTGAGGGAGGATGACAGCACGTAAGGAGGCCGATACTATGCATGACCGTGACAGACCCTAGATGTGGAGCCGTATACAGATAGGGATAGGTTGAAGTAGGTTGAAGGCAATCCAGGAGATGTCACTTTCAGAGAACAAGATAAGGTGGTTGCGAGACAAACCGACGATGAATTGAGCGAAGGGGATCGACAACGGAAAGTAGAAAAGTTGGTATAGTACTCAGCTCCTCGAGTGGCAAGGCCAACGCCCATGTTTGGCAGGTACGAACCTCTTGCGTTCAGTCGGATGCAGGCCCACCGCTTGACTCGGGCGAGCCTTCTGTCGCAGATGGTCACACATCCTCCCGGGAGATCCTCGACCGATACAACAAGAGGATGAGCAGAGACTCAAATAGGTCGAATATGCTGACAATGAGAGTGTAAATGAATATTGCCTTGCGTTCTCGAAGTCGCCGAGTGCGCGCAAAGGGCCCGACAGCACTCGATATTTGTCGCCATTGAGCAAGAGCTTCGTATGCCGTCGGTCGGCTGTCAGGCTGTTTAGCTGTCATGTTCTTGATGAGAGGCGCGACGAAGTCAATGTTGCTATACACCTGAGCGCTAGAGTTAGCGATACCCCATTGCGACGCATTGCGACGAGCATCGTGATTTTACCTTGAATATGGACATGTAGAGAAGGCGCCCTAGGCTGTAGATGTCTGCTTTGAAAGGATCGAATGGTATCGTCCGGGACTGCTCTGGCGCACGAGTACGACCCCCGATATTTAGCACCTTCCGATCGTCTGATGTGGTATTGGGATCGAAATGGGTTGAGAGGCCGAAGTCGATATAGTGATAATCGACGTTGACTTTCCACCTCGCTAGTCGGGGTGCTTTACCGCTGACTCCATCCGGCAATCGATCCTGCCGCACGGGGTGATGTCCAACGGGATACATCTCTCTTGCATTCATGAGCACGTTCTTAGCCGATATGTCACTGTCAAGCTCATCAGCGCTCAACAAACAACGTCGTTGCCAAAGGATGTTCAATACCGATGCGCAATGTGGTGTTGATGCATATGTACCAAACCCTGCACAGCAGAGCTTCAGCGCGGGTTGAGTGGGAAAGATATGCACTCCAGACTGACCTCTAATACCTGCAGTATGAACCTCATGCAATCGTCCACCCTCTCGAATGGAGGATCGTCAAATTCGCGAAGGAATGGCATGACCATGCAAGAAGCGTCGGGATTAATGTCGTCCGGGAAATAGTCCCAAAGAGGTGCAGCGTGATTGAAAGGCTCGTTCCTGACGCCATCCCCATTCAGAAACTGGAAGATCGCGCCTTCGTCGCTGCTGGTGCGTATCCGTTTGATATACACCATCTCGCCGTCCGATAACCTCGTCGCATCGATGACATTATGTCTGGGCTGAAGAAGAATGAGCCGTACTGGTGCACTGTAGTCTATTCCCCAGATGGTGATTTCGTACCGGAAGGGGTATCCTCCTTTCCTCGTCCACAACGTTTTCCCCAGACGAGGCAAGAGACGATTCTGGCAAGTAACGAGGTCTCAACGCATAACCGCGTTCCAGGAGTCTTGCATACATCGCTCTCCATACAAGTTCATTCGTAAAGAGATCATCATCGCGAAGAGCCTCTTCAGCGCCTCTTTCTTGCCGAAGTAGCGCGAGGAATGCAGGAGCCTCGGACGGAGAGGCCATCCAGTCGTGTGTGCTGGCGGGACAGGAACAACGTCGGGCTCGACGAGTCTTATTGATCGCGTATTTGATAAGCGCCCAGCGAGCGCTCCGACTGGCCAAGTCTCGATACTTAGAGGCGGCGACCAGCAACTTGCGGTTCCCTACTAGCTTCTGGTGTAGTCAGGGACTCATGGGCTTGCCACAGAAAGAGAATCTGGTGGGTGCTATCGCCCGTACCGTGGCGCTCGTGAGACACATACATTACGTGCACATACTAACCACGCCTTGCCCACCCGTCCGTGATGCTAAAAAATGAAGATAAGAATGGGATCAGACGGGTTTGA